AATGTTTCTTTATTAATAAACAGCAATGTATTTCATTTGTTCAAAAAAACAAAGCATAAAGATGGTTGCTCTACCTGGGTTCCATACAGGCTCTTGATGGCTGTCTGCTGTTGAGAGCTTGTATATAACACTTAAAATGAATACAGAACAAGCTAAAATCTTTTCTGATGAGATGTCAATGGTAACGTTTGAAACTAATTTCAGGCATCACTTGATGGCGTTGCCAAATTTGCTCCTTGAAGCAAATTTTTCATCTGACTATACTATAGAAATATTTCATAAGTTGTTCATCAGTTGTTTACTTAATACAGTAAATTTTTGATTTTTCTGGAGCAAATTGAAAGCTAGAATTTCTAGTTTATTCATATGGAGAATGCAAAAGATTTGAATTTTTTTGAGAAACATAATTGTTATGTGAGATAAGAAAGGTTTTTGTTAGCCCACTAAGGCAAACATACAACAAACCAAACACACATACATACAAGAAAGACATCGGCTGTACACAAAATGTTTAGCCAGCAAAGAAAAGAGGGTAAGGGAACGGGGGGGAAGGATGAGGGAGAGGAGATAGATAGTAGAGAAAGGTAAGATCCCTCTAAATGGTGTACATATGGCTACTGTACCCTTTATGTTTGATGTTGGTATGCAGTTTTTAGGCTGCAAGGCCGTAGTCCCCTGAAGGATCTAAAAGAAAACCTGAGTGTAGCAAACACCAATAATGAGAGCCGCCACAAATAGTTAAGTGTAGAAGTTAGTGCCAAGTGGCTGTTAGTAGGAAGATATATCTACTTAATACTAATAAAACTGAATGCAATCACGAATCTTAATACTACTTAACAGCTAGACAGACAGCACAAAAAACAAACGAACACAACGAAAAACTAGATGAGATGAACAAACTGACAGAAGACAAATGAGCAAGACCCCAATTCTTTATTATTATTTGATTCATTTATTTTTTAAATATTAACTTACTAACTAAACTAACCTTCCATAACCTAAGATAAACCTAACTAAGTGACTAAAGCTAACAAACCCTAATCTAATATAACATAACCTATCATAACTTAACCGAAAACCAAGCTAAGAGTCCCTAATCTAATTTATAACTAGGACTAACTTAAACTAACTGAATTTAGACTGAAAAAGAAGATAGAAAATAAGAATTAAAATACAAAATTGAAAGGCAGCTGTATACCAACAGTTGAAACAAAGCAAGGGAAAGCTAATTGTCATCCATGCTCCCCAGAGTGAGTGCTCTCAAGGGATACAAGTGGAACATTGTATGCGTGTGAATGAATTTGTGCAGGTTACAAGGCCAGTTGTACCCTTCAAGAATAGCAGCTCTCATTAAACTATCCCTAATGTGACTGTACATATTGCAGCAAAAAACTAAGTAAAGTGGTGTTTGGTCCTCCTGAATACCACAATCGCATTGTGGATTATCCCCTAGGTTAAATCTATGCAATTATTGCTTAAAGTTGCTGAGTCTTGTAAGTACCTGAGTGAGGGTGTAACTAGCATGAAAGTAGCAAAGAGTCGCAGTAGTGTCAATCTTGGGGATGAAAGTGTAGGTGAGCCTACCAGTGGTATCATTGTCCCAGCTATCTTGCCAGAGAATGAGGATTTGCTTCTTGACGTGATTTTTGATGTACGAGGTAAGAATGTAACCGAAAGTACTAGTGACTGAAGTCTTTGCAGCTTGTTTGGCAAGATGGTTAGTGGTCTCCTTGCCAAGAACCCCCGCATGATCTGGGACCCATTGGAAATCTATTCTAATGTTGTTATCTAAGTGTCTGAGAATGTGGTGTATGAGATGGACGAGTTTTAAGCGGCTATCAGACTTTGCAATCCTGTGTAAAGCTATCCTACTGTCAGAATAAATGCGTTAGTGTAAGGTAGTGTCTTTTGTCATTCCTATGCCTAATGTGAATTAAGCTCATATAAATAGCTAAAGTTTCCGCCTGTTCTATTGAGCAGTGTGTACCTAGATGGAAGCAAGCATTGTGAAGATTGTGGCCTAAGTTGGAGTAAATTATAAAAGCGGCACCTACATCATCACCCATCTTGAAACCATCAGTTTAAATCCTAAACATGGGATGATCACCTGGATCTTTGAAGTAAATGTCAGGGGCAAACTGGTGGGAGGGGTGGTAATCGTAAGTTGGGAGGGTATTTTTGTTTATGCTGAATTTTTTGATATCATCAATCAAGGTCAAACTGGGGGGAATCTTACCTACTCTAAACATTTTGTCTACATCCAAGTCGCTATAGTCTCGCCAGGGTAAGGTGATGAGATTTTCCTGCTAAATAATGCCTTTAATTTCAATAGGAGTCAATCCTGACATTACCAAAAGTACACTAGTGGGTGTGGTCCTATAAGCCTTACAAATGCAGAGAGCTGCAATCCTTTGAACAGATAACAGTTTTTTATGGTTATGGACTTTGTCAGCCATGTGGCCCCAGACTTGTATGGCATAGAGCAGTGCTGGCTGAATTGCACCCCTGTAAATAAGCTTAGTAGTGTTAGGACTAAGGCCCCATGTGTTCCTAGCAATACTAATGAGGGTGTTGACCATCTTTTAACTTTGTCTATGATGTATTTGATGTGGGGTGTGAAGTTAAGTCTCTCATCAAGAATAACACCTAAATATTTAATTTCCATTGTTTGCTTTATTCTGTGAGCACCTATTCGAAGAGTAAGCTTTCTGACTAGTGATGCGTTCCTACCAACTATCATGCTTTCGCATTTGTCTGTGTTAATGGGTTGCCTATGTTTAATACTCACTGGTGAATGTTATTGAGAATGTCTTTGCATATGTCCTGTAAGCATTCACTGTTCCTGTGTGAAGCTGGGATAATTGTGTCGTCTGCCTAGCCCTGTATGCGGCAGCCAGGAGGCAGGGTGTCGTTTAAGTGCAGAATAGAGTTATAGGCTGTTCCAGAGACCAGGACCAGACCTGGATCCCTGAGGACAGCCTCGAGTGATGGGTATGACTGTTATTTTGTATTTTATAAACACCTGCACTTCTGTTGCTAAGATAGAACTGAATAAGTTTGTAAAGATTTTGAGGTCAGTGATGAGCATGTAATATGTGCAGGATAAAAGGGCACTAGGCACGATTGAAGACACCTCTAAAGTCAACAGTGATAATTGCAGTATGTTGATTGTTTTGTTTAGCCTGGTGGATCTAGTTAACGACCTGATGGATGGCATCTACTGTACCTTTGTTTTTAGAGAAACCAAATTGATTCTGATGCAGGGCTCTACTCTTGTGTGGATGCCATGTGATCCTATTAATCATTAGACCATCTAACATTTTTCCCAGAGTTGGGAGAAGGCAGATTGGCCTGTATTTTTTGTAAGTGTCAGTGCTGGTGAGTTTGGGAATCACTAGCCTTTTTCCACTGAGTAGAAAAAGACCAGTGTTCAAGAAGATATTGAAGAGAACATTGTAGGATTGGCCTCAGATGTGTGTTTTATCATCCTAATAAACCAAACACACAGTAGATATGAAAAAAAAAATTATTTTATTTATATGTGATGTATCATTAACAGGTACAATAAAGGATGCCAGCTCTAGGACAATTACTTCAGTAGTACCTGAAACCACGTTGCAGGTGGAACAATTACAAACTTTTATATACAACCATGACATACCGAATCTCAATATTTCTAACTTGTACAATAAACAAGAAAAAAATAGTTGTTACAAAAGTAAAATTCTTATAACTAATCCTTAAAACTAAACTTACAGCTAACATGTAAAGTGACCAAATGTCCTGGATTAACTGGACTGGTTTTTGGCTCTTTGTCCTGGCTTGGAAAAATGTCCTGGTTTTAAATAAAATGCCCCAGATTATCCTGTTTTTATTTATAAGTAAATATTAGTCATTGATATAGACAATAACATTATTAAGCAATGAAATCATTTAAATAACAACCTCACACCCTATATTTGCTACCTTCAATTTTTAGAACATTCAGGTTTAAGTTCAGAAAATCTGGTCACTTTAACTAATATGGAAAATTGAAGTACAGTAGAGCATCGATTATCTGACCCCCCGATTAACCGTCACCTCGGTTAACCGACCGCGTTCTAGTCAGCAAATTCAAATACCCGCTAGTGATGTGGCGCTACAATATTTGGCTATGTCTTGGCTACTTTAATATTATTTTTACGTGTTTTAGCTGGCAACACTGGATTGACCATGAAAGGGAGCCAGTATTTAAACCAGGCTTAATTTTCTAATTTTTAACAATACAATAGCGATGATTATTATTTAAAAAAAAATTTGATAGGCTTAACATGGAGGAAAATTCAACGTGAAGTAGGTTAATAGCGATATACTAATATACTAATTACATGGGATATAATAATATACTACACTAATAATGGATTTTTTCATACTTTTCAATTATCCGACCAACCCCAGTCCCCAGTTGAGTCGGATAATTGATGCTCTACTGTAGTAGTAAAGGTGGAGAATAGAACAGAACAAAGGTCCCAGGTTTGGTTCGATTTTAACAGTGTCTTACCCCTGTACATTGTACTTTTCCTGATAACAATCAAGTCATGCCAGTCATCTAACTCCATTTTCAAGAAAATTTTGAATTTAAATCATATGACTTCTGGTCTAGATTAGAAGTTTGTGTATTGTTAATTGGGGTCTCTGGCCTGTAAGCTTTCCATATATGGTCTTGATATCTGGTTTGGGTCTAATTTTTATCTAATTCTGTTCTCAAGATTAATGAAGGACAGACATACAACAATGGAGATGTGTAGTTTTGCAATTTGAAAATAGCAGTCCAATTACAGACCTAACATAAATGAATCTTAAAATTTGAGAAAAAAGTAGCAAACATACACTAATATTACTGTATAAGCAAGAAAATTCAGTAATAAACAATGGCAAGTATGTAGTGACTATATTAACAATACAATCATAAAATTATAATTATTTATACAGCCTTATAAATACACATTTTCTTATTTTAGGAAGTGAAATTTCAAGAAAAGTCTTATCACAAACTTTTAGAAGAAACTCAGAAAAGAAAATCAGAAATGGATACTAAAGAAAAGGAAAAATTGAATATATTGTTTAAGTTAAAATGTAATAAAACGTATAAATCTGCATGTCAAAATTTGGAGAAACTACAGGAAAAAATCAAACAATTGGTAATGTAATTATATTTAATATTTTAATATTAAAATATTTATGATGTGAATAAATTAAAATGCTTTAAATAAGGCATTCATAAATTATTAATATAAAGGTATAAAATTTAAAATGAATGAACTAGCTGTTCAATGTAGCATTTTATAAAGTACTCAATCTAGTATTATTCTTCTGTCATTTCTTGCATTGCACTTTTAAATCATTTGGGACTTCATTTGTCTAATTTCCTTTGTTTGCCATTTGTAATTTTTATGGGATATCATCTGATTGCCTTTGTTTCCTTGGATGTTATCTTCACCTGTTATTTCTTCCATTGCTACTTATGGAGAGTTACAAATAGATGATAATCACAAAGAGTATATTTTGATGAATAGAGATTATCAGATAGTTCTAGAGTATATCTTGATGTATTTTATGATTTCCATCCATTATATTTTAGAGAAGACATCAGTGTTACAGGTTTTGGGCCTGCATTATCTTCTTCCCTAGTATTTTTCAATTTTTTCAAAAAAAGACCTCGCAATAGCACTTTCTTTAGTCTTTATTACCATATTGTATATGTTCTTTTTAAGTTTCTCCATTTGTTATCACATTCAATAGTCATGATATTATAATTATACTTTTTAATCTTGTTTGCAATTTTCTCTCAAATTTTTTTTTTTACAACCAATTACTAGTGTTTAGTGGTTTTATCCACTTGGCCAATGAGTGGATGTCAATAACAGAATGCATAATGGTTGCTGTGCATGCAAATTCTCCTCTGTTAGTTGTCTGCTGCCAATGGTACAGAAAGAGAGAGAATTCTGTAGCATGGCTTCCACCTGTCTCTGGATAGTGGACTAAAATGCTATTGTAGTTGTTCATGCTTTTGTCACAGTTGCAGTGGTTTAACTAGGGTATCAGAGCTTGTCCATCTTGTTGTGTGCTTTTACACATCCACTGCCTCCAACATCTCACAGTCGGGTCAGGATGGCCCAGATGTCAGACAAGTTGGTGAAATGGTCATCCTGCTTCATGCTTTTAGTTGTTTGTAAAGTCTTTGACTATGTTATACAAGTGTGCCTAGCATTCAAAGACCTCAAAACAAGTTATGTTGAAAATTGTAAAAAATAGTGAGCCTCTTCTAGCTTTTTTATAGGATAGTAGGATAGCATTTTTAAAGTACTGTGATGGAATTACGTAGCCTGCAATTGGATCACAACTGTAACACCGTTTATCAGTGGTTTTGTAACAAAGACATGATTAACTAATCTTATGTAATTTTGGATGCTGAACACAAAACTGACATTGAAAATGAAAGACTTGTTCTTGTTTGATAGTTAGAGGGATAACGAGAAGAACACTGAGTTTAATAAGATCTTTTATAAGAAAGTAAATGCACATACATGCTTCAAATATGACATCTTTTTGTTTCTTATATTTTGATTTTGGAGCATCTCTTTTATTCATCCAGCAGTAATCTCTCAACATAGCAGGGCACCATTTATCTTTATAATGCTTCTCAATGATAGCCTGATGAAAATGCTCCTCATATATATATGCCATCCCTGTGGTAAAGCGATAGCCAACTGAATCCCATAGTGGATGATTAATAAAGGCCATGGATGTAGGAGTCGTCCCCAGTATGAGTAACCGTGGATGATTATAATCAAGAATTAAATATGTCTAGAGATTAATATTTATAATGAGAATTTATTTAAATGATATTCATAATTATAAAAATTTTGAAGTTTTCACAATTCATTCTTTACATACTGCAAGATCACACAATGAAGTAGATATTTTAGGTTCTTCCTGGATTAAATATGCAATAGTTATACAGTATATATTTTTTAAAACTACACAATGCCAGAGAAATTTTTATAACTTGTATAACAATTAAATCCTGGACAAAAATTTAATTTAAAATATTCATAATTAGAAAAAATCTCATACTGTACTTGTGTAATCCAAATAAAGTATTTGTGAAGGCAAGACTAGATGTTTGAGCAGATAATACATGATTACATTGACCTATATGATGACAATTTTGTACAGTTGCTTTTTGTACAAAATTGTTCAGTAAAAACATTTAAAATACTTAGTTGACAGGCTTAAGCAGACACAAAAGAATGAATGAAAATTTCTCTCTTCAGCAACTCCAGAAATTGCAAGAGTGACACTAAAAAAATGTGACCTGGTAATATAAGCAAATAAAACTGTAAATAATCTTTACAGATGTGGTGTTGTAAATTCCAGCATAAATGATGATAAATTCATAAGTGGAGTAATTGCAATCAATGCTGCAACTTCTGATAGCATAATTGCCAATCATTCTTCTGGTTTTATTATTAGGGTTTGTTCTCTTCCATGCTGCCAGCACTACAAAAGTATCATCTAAACCAGGGCTTCTTAAACTTTTTTTATTCACGCCCCCATTTATGATTGTGATTTTTTCGCGATCTCAAAAAATAGAAAATAAAGATATATACAAATTTGCGAAAACAATAATGGTGTACTACTGCAGTTCACTGTTGTGTTACAATGGAACAGAGACAACTGAATACATTGAAAAGCGACAACACTACACTAGTTCACACTACAATCAATGTTGCTGAATCGTTGTCTTGCTGCACCAGAAGTGACACAACTCACGAAACCTATGACACAAAGCATGCCATTTTCAAACTCATAAATTATTTTCAATATTTTGCATTAAAATCTCGCGACCCCAAGATTTCGCTAAGCGACCCCAAATGGGGTCACGACCCATAGTTTAAGAAGCCCTGATCTAAACTGATACCAAGTTAATGCCACAGAGCAGAAAAAGTTAAAAAACTAAAAAAAACATTAAACTTTTAGTATTATAGTAGAATCTTGTTTTATACAGGTGTTGCATGCCAATAGATACCACATAAAATGAAATTCTGCATAAATTTGTGCTCTGCTCCAAGTAGTGAAGATAATTTCCTAGGCCAATGATTCTCAAACTTTTTTGGCTTGTAGTGCACTGCAAAGCATGAAAAATTCTTCTGGCACACTTTTTGTATATTTAAAAATATTACCATAATATATTTTAAATTATAAATAGCCATATACTATAATGACTGCTACATTACCCTACAGGCCTAACCTAGCTATTAGTTTATCACAGAAGTTATAAATCATTGTACTGATTAGTTTCTTCTTACTTTTAAAATATACTTTAATAATCTTTGAAGCATATTTAGCCATCTCTTATGGCACACCATTTGAGAACCACTGCCATAGACACTATTTACAATTAACAGGAAAATGTTAAAATGTCTTTGTAAAGCATTTTAATTATGGTTTTACTTTAAAGAATAAATATATGGAGCAAAATTTTATTAAACTATGTTGAGTACAATACTCAAATCACACCATACCACAATATTTACCTAATAGCATATAGTAACTTTCAATGTTCAAAATATCTGAAGTTGGAGAAGCATGGTTTGATGACTTAAGAGTCAAATTCCGTAGCACTGGGAGTGAGTTAACAAAACTATTCATAAAAACATGAAAACAAGACCTTGCTGTAATTTTAACAAGTCGAGGAGAAGGTGGTATTATGGAACCTCATTTTCATTATAGTGAATTGTAAACAAGGTATCATAACTACACCCACATTTTTGTGTGAAAAGTACTGGTAACTATTAAACTAAATGTTCCTAATTGGATTTTTTGTTATTGTAACTATAAGTATGGTTTTTGAAGGCTTTTGTACAAAAAGTCAGAAAGTAGGCTTAGGGAAAACTGGGTGGTAATATGGAACCTTAATGTATGTTTTCAAAAAATGCTTTAATGTATCCAAAAACAAATAGGAAAGTACAAAGAATGTTTAATAATTACAAAATTATTTGCTCCAATGTATTTTATCTCAAAAATGAGTTAATAATAATAATAATCAGGTCATAAATACTAAAAACTACAGAAAACACATACTCAAAGATACAACACTCACAAATGACACATGCAGAAAATGTCACATCATGCCAGAAACTATACAACACATCGTTTCTGGTTGCAAGCTCTTGGCACAGACAGATTACTTACATAGACACAATCAAGTAGCAAATATAATACATCAAGAGCTTCCAAAGAAACACAAATTGGTAGACATCCACGAACCATACTACAAGTATATTCCACAAACAGTATTGGAAAACAACACGCACAAAATGTACTACGACAGAGCCATAATCACAGATAAAACAATTTATCACAACAGACCAGACATCACACTCATTGACAAACACAATAAATTCACATACATTATAGACAGCCATTCCAAACACTCACAATGAACAAAACACATTCACTGAAAAAATTAGCAAGTACACAGAACTCGCCCAGGAAATAAGGCACCTGTGCAGGATGGAAAGGGTGCTTATTGTACCTGTTGTTCTCTCCTGTACAGGTGTGATACCACACACACTACATAAAAGCCTGGGAACATTACAATTAAATAGAAATACATACATCACACTATAGAAGGCCATTATATTGAATACATGCCACATTGTTAGGAAATTCCTGAATACAGACACAGACACTGACACACTTATTTAATTTTAGTTTTATTTTGGTTGCTATGCCTTGACTCTGGTCCTGCATAGTAAACAGCCACCGGTGTGAACCGAGTATAACCCACTAAACACAATAATAATAATGTAAAAAGAAGAAGCTAATCATTTACAAAAATCACAAATATAATGCTCCTATAGTGTTAGGTAACCATTTTTTACTTTTTTCATTTTCCATCTACCACATACTTTTACTACATGTATTTATTATAAATGTATAACACTTCCTCCATGGGGGGAAATTTTTTGAAAAATCCCTTTTTAGTGTATATTCTGTTGATGTATCCTATTAAAATGCAATCAAAAACGCAAAAAACCGCATCTAAAATAGTGTAAATAGAAGCAGAGTTCTTCACAGTAAGACTTAATCCTGTCCATCTCCACCCCCCAGTGGGGGAAATTTCGACGTGTATATTATATAAAAACATGTGCATATTCGAATGCAATGTTGTGTCAAAATTTCAAAGGAATCAGTAGGAACAAACGAACATTACATTTTTATTTATATAGATAAATAGAAGATGATCTGCTTTAGTTCATCCTCACAGGAAAGCAAACTTAGGTCGTCATACTCGCGGAGTTAGCGCCATCTGTTGGACATAAAAGCCTTAATCCTAGACGCTATCTTTTAATTTATATGAATGTTTAATGGAATAATATACAGCCTATGTTCACCCTGAAGTTCCATTCTAAATATTGGTGAAAGAATTTTTGAAATCAGATAAGTAGTTTTGGAGATTACCTCCTACATCCAAACTTACAAACTTTACCTCTTTATAATAATAGTATAGATGTATTCTTGTCTAGAGTTACTGTTTGTAATGAAGCATGCACAGTAACTCTAGATTACTATTTAAATGTCACACATAATCAACTCTGCCAGCATCAGTATGATCAAATATTTTTCTGTGGACTAGTGAAATTTTTTAACAGACTAGCAGTTGAAAAACACTGATCTAAGGCATACTTAATCAATCAATCTTTAGTGTTTAGATCAGCTGATCAAGTAACAAAATCCACAGGTAAAGTTTTCTTGATTATTTACTTGTATATTACTTCATTCACTGATGCCCCAATATATGTATATATTGTTGCATAGATGGGAGGTGAACGACAATAATGAGTCTTATGTAAAAATGAAAGGATTCTTTATTAATCCACAGAGTATACTACCTCTGCAGCTCGCAGTACCGGAACTAACTCTTAGTCTGACAACTCGCACTTTTATAGCACGGGGACATTCCCAAAATATTCAAATAACAGTTAATTATCATACGAGAACTTTCTCAAAACTTTGAGAAAGTGAATATAAAAGAGCAATACCAATTTACCATTGAGCAGGTCTAAACCAGATACCTTCCAATTCGTAGACCAAGACAATAACCACATCATGGTGATTGACGGTTTGAAAACAAAATGTGGCATTGTGTGTGTATATATAATAATAATATATAT